GTTACGAACATGCTAACTCTCTAACATAACTCGGTCAACTCGTATAAGTTTCAAGCTAGTATCGTTTCGCCAGTAGACAGTAACTATACATTACTACATCTTCGCACACTTAGAAGACCTCTGATCTCGGCAAGGTTTCGTTTAACTCTTGCTTTCTACTCTTCAACCCCGATCTGCAACCCCCACATATTCAACTTCCCCCCTTAAACTCCTCTCCCCATCCTATTTCTTAGCTCTTCTCGGTCCATTAACATTTTCTTCTTTCGATCGGTCTTTTTTCTCTTATAAACATTCCAATCTTCTTTGCTGCTTCTCCTTCCCTCCTCCTCCTCCTTCTCCTCCTAATTTTTTTTTTTTTCGAGATCACCACCATCTCTTTACGCAGGAGACCCCCGAGTTACCCCCTTTTTAGCTGTTCTCTCTTGTCGTTGTTGTCTCCGTTGGAGGCCAAGACCGGCCTCGCACTCGAGAGTGAACTCGAATGCTATTTATAGTAGGGAGCGGCTTCGACTAGCTAGCTCCCACCGCGTGAAAAATCGTGACTGGTTTGTTGCGCGCGCGCGCGCGCGCTTCAAAGAGGGAGAGAAACCGATATAAGGAGGAGGAAGGAAAGGTAGGGTGTGATGGTAAGGATCAAAAGTGGAAAGGGACACTCTTGGTTTCAAGTTTAAACCCAAAATGTAAGACCTTGGTGGCGACCATTTTGAGAACATATTTTATTTAGGTTCTTATGTTTTTTTAAAAAATTATTCAATTTATTTTTACATTATTATATGTTGTAGATGTTTCAATATAAATATATAATCAATAAAATTTGATTCAATGTGATATCAAAAAATTGAAGAATTTTTTTTATGCATATATATAAACTGGATATTGGATTTTGAAAAATAGTATTTTAAATAGCAATAGATTTAAAAGTAAATAATTTTAAATTGTATGTTTTTGATACAGGTAATTAAATAAAAATTTTTAATGGAAACGCAAAAATATTACGAATACTATATCTTTTCTCTCCTGCATAATAACTTCTTAAACTTTTGATTTTTAATCTGACATTTTAAAAATGAATTAAAAAGAAAAAAAACAAAAATATTATAAAGTATTAGCCTCTCAGAGAAAAATTGCGTAGAGATTAAATTTGAAGATAGATGACATACCAAAAAAATATTCTCATTTGTAATCCTTCTCTTGTTAAACGAGTGGAGTTACTGAGAACGTGGTGGAGAGAACCACGAAGAGATGCGTTTATCGTGGTATTATCGCTCTCTTCCTACCACTCCCCTCCAACCCCCTGCCCCCTCTCTTTCCCTCTTCATCTTCTTCTTCTTTTTTTTTGCGAGAACTCCTTCTTTTTTATTCTTCTCATCTCGAAGGTACCCGAAAGCCCTGAAAAAGGACGCTGTCCTTGCAAGGGCGCACGGTGAACCCGCTTGGGAAGGAACGAGTTGCATCGAAGGCATCTACCTTTTATACTTCTTTTGCTTTCTTGTTTTTTCCTTCTCATGTCTCTTGTCGAGCTCATGCAACGAGCACGAGCTTACTTACATACATTCGATATGTGTTATTGGGATAAGATCGGACTCAGCTCTCTTAAAGTTAAGTGGAGCAAGGTTTATTCACATTCAATTTTTTTTTTTTTTTTTAATAATTTTAAACCTGGATCTTATTCTTCGTATTTTCAAATTGTTCATGAAAATCTTAGAAAATGGTACATATATTTTTTCTAAAATATTTACAGAATAAGATTTCACTCGAACTGAACTTATGATATCGATAGAAATGTTCCTTCCCGAGATTGAATATTTATAAAAGTAATATACACATAGTATATATATATGTTAAGCAAATTGATATTTCAATCAACTCGTGCGTAAGCACGTGCAAGGGATGTATCGCTTTTACATTCAATTTGACTTTCGGGATAAAGATAGACATAAAGTTATTTCAATGTTATTCAAAAAATACGATAAATAAATAATTTTATAGTAGAAGATTATATAAATCGATGTGTATAACTTATTTTAAAAATCGAATATATTGAATTTCAGTTTTATTATATACGTTGATAATGTTATCAATAACGTTGTTGTCATAAGTTTAATGTACTGTGAGATCATCTATGATAATAGGACAGTACGGTAGTATCAGAGTTAAAAAATTAGATTGATCTTGTTAGAAACATTTGTGTTTATGACTTCCTACTGTTCATTTAGCATAAAAGTTCATATACGTAGTATCATATCTACATTTTGCGAAAATGTTGTATGTATTTTACGATTAAACGTATACACACTCGATAAAGTTTGCATTCACATAGTAATGTCTGATAGTTAACGTCTACAGTTTGATACCGATTGAGATAGAAAAGCGTAAAAAAGAATAATTAATAATTTCGTGTAATGAAATATTATCATTTTTCAGGAATTAACTGAATTACACGTTTTAAAGGTAATATATATATGTGCGTGTATATAAGCTTATTTTTTTATATCCATTCTTTTCAAAACGAAACTTCAAATGAATAAATGTTCTATCCAATTTTTGTATTATTTTTTCTACGAAGAATTATTCCTTGCCCGATAATACGCGAAAAGTTCCGCCTCATATATATTAATTATATAAACTAAATAGTAAAATTCCTTCCTATTTGTTTTTAACGAATTCTTTCAGTAGGAATCGAATAAATGCACCTAACAACACATGCACATTCTTTCTACTCGCTTGTGGAATTCTAGTGGAATTCTAGTAGAGTCACGACTAGAAGTGAAAGAACCAATCAGGACTAACTATAGGTGTACACATTCTATAAATAGAATATGTGTTTCGGCGAGTTTGCAACGTTGTCATGGGAAGTCGATGCAAGAGAAAACTTTTTCCTTACAAATTACTTACTTCTTATCAACGAGTAATTGGAGTCATTAACGTTGGAATGAATCATTGTTAATTAATTTTTAAAAATCGGAAAAGAATACAATTTGGATCTATTTTATGCTCATCGATCGGTTATGAATACATTTATAAATGCATATATGTATACGTTACATAACTATTATATGTGCCGGTAGTTACGACGATGGATCAAGTTAAAAAAAATTGATTTTTTGAAAAATATTGATTTTTTTCGTTTATTTTATAATATAAATAATTATAATGTAAAATAAATCATCAAACTAATTTTTCCATTTTTTTTTTACTTACAATTTATTATCATTACCGGTGCATATATAAAAGATAAATGATAATTTATTTGTAGAAATCGACTTAGCGATTTTTCACTCATGGATATATTAATGATGAAAGTAAACATTCATAATTAATTTCGTCATCGTTTCGTAGCCATTCCTAGACGAGATGCAATTCGTTTATCACTGATGCATCAATCCATGGGCGCATATTACCAGCGTTGCCACGCGATACAATTGCATTCTTAGAAGTGGTATGATTCTTTTGTGTCGTGCGAGAGTAACAAGATCGCATGAACATATTCGATTCATGAAAAGGATGTAGAATGTTATTATCGTGAAATTTATTAACAAAATTTTCCTCTTATAAAAATCATTTTTTCTTCAATTTTTAACGAAATTTGTAGTAAAAAATACGTAATCATTTTAATATTTATTTATAGAGATAGATTTTTGTTATTCTTTGTAAGAACATATTTCTGTTAAAGTATTATACTACATTGTTACAGCAAAACTTGTAAGTAGCGGATATCCGTTCATTGCTGTTTACGTATGTATTTAATACACTGTACATGCATATATATCTTATGAACAGTCATGCGTATCGATTGGCGCATATTGGTTTTTTTAATAAATCAAATTATCATTGAAATTGAATCTCGATCGTACGTATCGATATGTTAAATAATTATGATCGGAATGATTGTATATTGATTTCTATGATTTTTTTGTCAATATCAAAAGATGTTGAAAAAATCCTTAAAAACAACAATTGTTGAAATCTTTTTACGCATCGTGGGTAAAATGAAGGAACAAATAATTCTGAAAAAAAGTAAATTAACAGAAAATATATGAGTAAATGTCTTGAGAAGATCTATATGAAAATTGAGGAAATTTGAAACTGACTTTTCGACATCTGCTATCAACATGTGTTTTTCGATGCATACTGTGCATCTTAATGAGAGTTAAGTATCTAGAACATAGATATAATATGTATAATTGAAAGAAAATGAAAATGAAAATGGAAATAAAATGACGTTAATATTAGATTGTATAACTAAATACTAATTCAAATAATACTTTAATCATTTATTATTTAATTATTTGTTTTGGAATTATCATTTGCTGAAAAATTAATCACTTAAACGGAACATTAATTAATCCTATACGAAAATAATAACGTAGTATAATAATCTGAAAATAATTAATGAAGTTTTATTTTTTTATCGGTCAAAAAAGTTAATTAAAAATGATCTCGAATAATTATCATTTTTGTTAATTTAATAATACAAGAAAGAAGTAAAACTATAGAGAAAGAGAGATCTCAAACAATTCTTACAATTTTTTAATCCATAATTCCGTCCTATGCTATTATACAAAAACATCAAATTTACTTTCAATTATTAATAATATAAATCATTTCAATGATTAGAGACGATTAGTCGGGTTTATGTGAAAATATATGAGTTTCTAAAAATGGTATCGACTATCAAGGAGGGAGAAGACTACAATAAAAAAGATATAAGCTTGAAATCCGAAGGAAAAGGATGTAAAAAATGAGAGGAAGAAGAAAAAGAAGAAGAAGAAGAAGAAGATGAGGAGGAGGAGGACGACGACGACGACGACGACGACGACGACGACGACGACGACGATGATGACGATGATGATGATGATGATGATGATGATGATGCTGGTGGTGGAGGATGGGATTTTCTTAGAACGTGAATCGTGCAGGTACGCAGACATCCTAAAGAATGAGCCGTTGAGAAGAAAGGGGAGGGAGGAAGAGATCGAAGAAGAGGAGGAGGAGGAGGAGGATCTAACAGCAGTGTGTCTTTTGCGAACTCGTGTGGTGGTGGTATTCAGAGAGAGACCCATTTACAATGGTTACCATAGTGGTTGCTTCGAAGAAGAAGAAGAAGAAGAAGTTGAAGAAGAAGTAGAAGAAGACGAAGAAGAAGAAGAAGGAGGAGGTGGTAGGGTGAGAGGGTGATCGTCGTGGCGCTTATACGAGTCGAGAAGAAGGGTCATCTTTGTGCATTGCAAGTAAAAGCAAAGTCTGCACCGGCAGTCGTCGCCCGTAGCTCGTGCGCACAGGCTCGTGTTCTCCTTTTATCCCTTTTCTTGCCTTATCATCTATAATACACTTCGTGTCGTATTCTATTACTTTGTTTCTCATTTATTTTCTTAATATCGATAATATTCGTAATGTTCGTGTGAGTGTTATTATTTTTATTATTAAAAATTTATTTTCATTTAAATATATTTTCTATTTTCGATTGTCTCTCAGGTTAACGTGAATTTGTATTCCTTTATCCGAGAATAAATGATTCGTTCGGCGTCGTGCCGGAGTTTAAAGTGAATGTTACACTCCGCGTATCTCTATACTTTCGTTCTTCATTACGATGTCACGAGAGGCCACCCCTTGCGCAATGTTTCAAGTCTGAACGGTAATTGTCTTACTCTGTCCCTTTTCTCTTCAGCCTTCTAATTATTTTCAAAGTATAAAATCGATTTTTCTTTTTTATTTCCTAAGAGGTTTGAAATATTTGAAAATATTTTTTTATATAATTTAAGATTCCAGTTTAAATCGAAGGAAAGAATGTTCTAACTATTGAATCATTTTGTAACGATAAGTTAAGAATTAGAATATTATTTGACAAATAAGATAATTAGTGGCAAAAGAATTTTTTTCCTTCGATAAAATATTGAAATACGTTTAAATTGGTACTTGACAATTGTACGATAGATCGATTGGATCTTAATTTTTATATACATCGGTATTCGTTCGTGTTGTCATCGAAGAGTAGAGTGATCCGTTCAAGCGCACGTGTTTGCTTTTGATCGGAGAAAATCAATTGACTGTTATGTCGATCGCATTAAGGCCGACTCATTAATTCGTCCATGGTGGGTCCGACGTATACCGATATAATTTTATTCAAATGGTCCTAATAACAGTTAACAAATATTCATCCCTGTCATGTGCTCGTCTAGGATCGATCAACGTTTTGATATATTTATTTTATTTAAATTTACATGACATCATTTTAACTCACTATAGGTATGAATTTTCATTAACTAATCGTATTCTAGATAAAGATATATATAAGTATGAATAATCCTCGATTAGTATCACTTGCCCATGAAATATATATATCTCCCTCGTTCCATTCTACAAATTCTCGAGATAACTCGAATGAGTTGTAAACCAGTTTTGCTTCTTAATATTCATCATTCTTTCGTATAATGCTTCTCCTGCAACATTGATATCATTAATTAAAATCGTTGCACAACTATGTATGTAAATACAACGAATACCGGTGTTGCAATGTTGTTTACTTTTTTCTTTTGGTACACGTTTAAAAAAATTGATCGATGTCAAGATGTCTCGAACAATTACGAGATAGAATCTTAAAATTAATGTTATATACAAACGTTTCTGAACCTTTTTATACTGTGCAACTGAATAAATTAAATTGTTTCGATACGATACTACGACTCGTATTATTATAATGTATTAAGTTGTTCCAAAAATTTCTTGATTTTTCTTATTAAATTCTACATTAAAATTGTTCATTATTTTATGGTATTTTACTGATTTATATATATACGATCCATTCTTTTATGTTTCTCTATAGATATATAGAAAAATAATATATCTATATATATTGTATATATAAATTGATTATAAGAAACAGTAAGAAACTTTAATATAATTTTTACGAAGCTGGTGAAGACCAGAGTTACTGTATATTATTTAAAAGATAAGTATTACTCTACTACTACGATATTCTCACAAGAATATTCTACGAGAACTTTCTGAAGTATCTTTTATAAATTAATTATTTCCCTTGCTTTTTTGCATAAGATAATAGTTATTATTCCGAGGTATATTAAATATTTAATGTAACCTTTAGATTGAGAAACGCTGCTATATATATATAATTTAGTTTGATATGTTTAAGTGTTGCTAATTATGTTTGTCACATTTATAAGATTAATTATGTTATATTAATAGAAAGATGGTGATATAGAGTTACGTATTTATCGTAGAAACTTGGCTGTTACGGAACTGATTATTATTACTATTCTTATTGTTAGTTTCATTGGAAGTTGGTAAAAACGTAATCGTAAGTCGATTCTGTATGATTACGATTGGTAATGATTTGATGATAATAATCTCGGTTTCGTAAGGCTCACGTTTTGTCGCATAATTCTGCGATGTGTGTTGCATTTAGATAGATTGAATTGGATCTATTGTATGGAATTAATTATCTTTGATAAGTCGAATACAATCGTGTAAACTACTATTGGTATGTTCGAAAGAATTTCTACAGTTTAATTATCATTTTGATAATATCATTCATTTACTATTAATCTTGAATAATTAAAATTTTAATTTTATGCTTTTGCGTCTTTCATTTATCTTACTTTATATACAATTTTTTTGTTTAAATAATTTAACAAAATTAACATGTATAAAAAAAGGATAAAAAAATAAAAAAAAAAAGAAGTCAATATATTTATATATTATATTATAAATATTTGGAAATAATTTTATGAAAATTTTTAATCGTTAAATTGTTAATGTAAATTCGTTTGATTGCAGGTAAATAGAAAGCTGAAAATTATCAGCTATTGAATGCTGATTTGAAGATTGTGTTATAATCTCAAGAGTCGTATAATAAATCGAATGTTACTAAAATCTCAAAGAACAAGAATGACACTATATTATGTCGATAAAAAAATCGTAAAGATAAACATCGGTCGGGTGTATTCCTGATGCAAATAATACAATTCGATGCTAAAGGATAGAAAGAATAATAAGGGCTCGAAATTGTATTTTTGAAAATAAAATAATATATATAGATATATACATATTTAAGGGCGATATTTAATTATCGTCATCGTCCGTGCTTTTTTAGACAAAAACCATCCATATGTATCAGTAAAAACTGATAACGTAATCGGAGTTCCGCCGTGTTGGCACAAATTCGACGATCAATAATAATCATCTGACTGTTGTTGGTCTATTCGTTGAATCCAGCAGAAACGAGGAAAAAGGAAAGGAGTGAGTGACGTAAGGCCACGTAGAAGGTCGTCCAATTTATAAAAAGAAAATAACTTCGGAAAGGATAAAGGTAAAAAAAAGCGGAAGGAAAAATGGCATACGACGACGTGATACTCCGAATGGGCGAATTCGGTCGCTACCAACGTCGAGTTTATTTGCTTCTTTGTCTTCCGGCGATATCCTGTGCATTCCATAAATTAGCAGGTGTTTTTCTTGGGGCTAAACCAGATGCCAGGTCAGGATTTATCTTTTTTATCCGAGTTATTGATTAATATTTTGTTTATTTTTGATATCATGTAAAATGTTTGATCAAGTTATTTAATTAGATAAGATAAAAAGAAAGTAAATTTATATGTATGTGTGTACGTTTCATTTCAGATGTCTATTGCCGCACGAGAGTATGGAAAATGCTACGTATTATCTACCTCAGGACGTGATGAACTCCACTTATCCTTGGGATTACGAAGCAGAGAATTGGTCGCAATGTTTACGACGAGATCCTATATTGGATGGTAATTTTCAAGCTAAGGATAATTGGCCGGTTCAAACGCCAATAGGTTCACGCGAGTTGGCCAACGCCGAGGGTGTTAAACCTTGCGAAGGATACGTTTACGATAGGACAAAATATAAAAGTACCACCACTTCTGAGGTATGATTATTCTCGATATAATATAAAGCTCGATTAACCTGTCTCGTTTCTTTTTCTAGTGAATCGGTGAATCCGAACCGCTTTTCCTTTTTCAGTGGAACTTGGTCTGCGATAGAGCCTGGCTAAGGGCTACGGGGGACTCATTGTTCATGGTAGGAGTCATGCTTGGCTCGATGATATTTGGTGCTTTGTCCGATAAGTATGGACGTAGACCAATTTTCTTCCTGTCTTTAGTCATCCAGCTCGCCGGCGGTATATTGGTTGCGATAGTTCCTGAGTTTATTTCCTACGTAATCTTCAGGTTGATCGTTGGTTCGACCACCAGTGGAGTTTTTTTGGTGGCTTACGTAATAGGTAAAGAATATGTTGCATTGGAAAATGTTAAGTGCACAATTCATTTACTTTTTTTTGTCGGATAGGTTGTTGGCATATAATAATGTTAAATATTAATATTAGAACTACATCAAAATGAAGTTTTAAGAATGAGTCCGTATTTAATTTAATATTGTATACATTAATAACGAAGCTTGCTTCAATTATTAATGAAATTCAATTACTCCTAACTTATGTGATTATAAATAAATAACTAACCTTTTATTTTCCATGCAGCTCTTGAGATGGTTGGCCCAAAGAAACGTTTGGTAGCTGGTGTAGGTTGTCAATTATTCTTCACTACGGGTTACATTCTTACGGCAGGKTTCGCTTATATGATAAGAGAATGGAGAATGCTGCAGGTCGCCATCACCATTCCGAGTATCGTATTTCTGTTCTATTGGTGGTATGTTTTGTGATAATACTTAGTCAACTGGCCTCAATATGTGCATAATATACATTGTTTGTACAGGTTCATTCCAGAGTCTGCTCGTTGGTTATTGATGAAAGGTCGTGCCGAAGAAGCTAAAGATATACTTCAATGTGCATCGAAGGAAAATGGAATGGAAATTCCACGTGAAGCTCTAGATACTCTTCTAAGCAATAATAGTGAAGATAGTATGCCTGATTCAAAGAAGGCTTCTCTCTTTGATCTTTTTCGATATCCGAATTTAAGGCGAAAGAGTATACTATTGTTTTTTAATTGGTACTAATTATTTTAAATATCTAATATATGTTTCTTCAAAAAAGTAATAACAAATATAGTACAAAAATAATCATTCTTATTTGTGTATAGGCTTGTAAATAGTGGTACATATTATGGATTATCTTGGCATGCATCCAATCTTGGTGGAAACGATTATGTGAACTTTTTGATATCTGGCTTGGTAGAAGTACCTGCTTACACGTTTCTTATTTTCACGTTAAATCGATGGGGCCGAAAAATAATTCTCTGTGGTTGCATGTTGCTTTCCGGATTGGCACTACTCGCCACATTGTTCGTTCCTATTGGTAAGTAAAATGAATATGTTTTAGTCAAGTAAACTTAACTTCAAAAGTTGCTGAATTTGATCGCTGTATAGATAAACCATGGCTAGTAGTTTGTCTCGCTATGATTGGGAAACTTGCCATCACGTCATCGTACGGTGCAATTTATGTTTTTACGGCCGAACAATTTCCAACTGTTATCCGTAACGTAGGTCTTGGCGCTAGTTCGACTTTTGCTCGTATCGGTGGTGTAATAGCACCATACGTAAATCATCTAGTAAGAAAATCATATATATATTATTGCTAGATTTGACTGTGTCGATAAGGTATGAATACGAATTTATTGTTAAATCTTTTAGTCGGAAATATGGACACCCTTGCCTTTGGTCATTTTCGGATCCTGTGCTCTCTTTGGTGGCATGATGTCACTGTTACTTCCAGAAACTTTAAACAAAAAACTTCCTGAATCTATCCAAGATGGAGAATTGTTTGGAAAGTACGTTTAATTGTTATCAAATCATATCAGATATTTCAAATGAAATTTGAAAATATTTAATCATTTTATCTAATATTATAATCGTGTAGGAAAGTTTCTAAAAATAAGAAGAAGAAGCAGCAGCATGACCTGGAACAAGGAAACGAAATAGATGTAATAAAGCCATTGAAACCACAAGAAAATGGAGTGCATGAAAAACAAAATGGATGACGTTAGTCTTATTGAGGAATGTCGGTTGTGCTGAAAATATTTATCTGATTCCTCTCCGATTGTAAACTAGGCGTTCTCATACGCGTGATCCACGTGTAGTGTGCACACATTAAAAGCGCACCAAATTGAAAACGGAGCTCTCTTAAATAACTCGATTAACGATATTCGGCACAGAGATCAAATTAAAAATCTTTTCCAATTGTAAGCGATATATATAGTATGGAAAACAAATTCAAGGCCTTCGTAAAGAAAAAAAAAAGAGAGAGAGAAAGAGAGATAGAAAGTGAGTGTTTATTTTTATACAAGAATCTCAACACTTTTAAACAAAGAAAGATTTCTGGTTTGATCAATTTGCACCGGGCTCACGGTGTTAGCCGCTATTTGATCATTATTTGATCGTGGCTTAGTCTTATTAACCTGAGCCTTGCTTAAATATTATACATCAGTAAAGAGAGAAGAAAGAACGTTCTCAATTCTTGAATACTGAAAGTAAAGATGCAACATAAGATTTCTGCCAATATGCATATCATTTACTATAATTCTGAATGTCATTTATGTATAAGTGCCCTTTTTTGTAATTTTGTGCAAGAAATAGATATCTAATCATACAATTATTATATCTATACATATATTATAAGATCTACGGAATTTTAATTTTTTTTTGTCGAAGATATTATCAATTCTTGGTTATTATTGCGATATTCGATAAATAGACACACGTATATTGTCATAATACATTAAAGCTTGTCCAAATTTATAATTAATAAAAGACAAGAAAGATATTCAATGGTTATGCAATTAGACAATTACGTCATATTTTTATAAATTATGCTTTTAGATAATAAATGTCATTTTACGACATTGTAACGATATGAATCCTTCTTTATTTTTAATTTATTAATAACGAATTTTTTGATATGTCAATCTTAATATTTAAATATTATCTTTATATAATTATATGAAGTAATGCCTATACGAATTTTATTCTATTAAAATTTTATTATTACTTGCTGCGCATTTTTGTATATGAAAAAGTTAAATGTAGATTTAAAAAAATTAAATAAAAAAAAATTCTGTGATTTATATAGCTTTTTTGTCTATTTAATTTTCCATAATATAGAGTCCAACATTGTAACATAAATAATGATCAAATTATACTTTCTAAGATTTCCAAAAATTTTTATTTTTTTTTTATCAGAACAGCCTTACTCAAACTTAATAGGTACAAAAAATCTAATACATTTTACACAATAAATATTTTTATGAATTATTTTCTTCAATGATCTGCAAAAGATGTGCAATGCATTTGGTGCAGGTAATTAATATTAAATGTTTGTAAATTCTAAGGACGTGTATTGTATCTTAAACTTATAACGAAATAATAGATACTAATAATAATAGAAATAGGCAATGTAATGCTATTAAAATCTATCTTAAATTAAAATTAAGGAATAAATTATGAATAATAATTGCATTGCTCCGTTATATATATGTATATGTATAATTTTAAAATAATTCACGATCAAATATAAGTAAAAATCTATTACTTAAGTATTAGCAAAGATAATAGTATTACAAGTAATCGTTAAAAATAACAATGTATTAGTAGATAATTTAAAACATAATACTTTAAAGATATGTTCTTTTATGAACAATCTCAATTAGTAAAGTTCAATAAAATATCAATGTTTTCAAATTATGTTGGTTGTATAAATAGCTTATACTTATAAGCACTGCACATTTACATTTTGATATAGTTAGATTTTTGTCTTAAACTGATTTCTCATATATAACAGAAATATTACACCCATAAAATATCCAATACGGATGGAATTGTTTCTTAACTGTATTTTAAAGAACATAGACATTACCTCTTTAAAAAATATCATTAAACTTAATGTTAATTCGAATAAAAATATTACTTCACATCAAGAACTTATTTTTGCTCCTAATGGTTGCGGCCTAGCATTACGTTCAAGTCTTTTTTGTTGCTGTTCAAATAAACGTTGTTCACGTTCTCTACGCTTTTGTTCTCTCAATGCTCTAGTAGGATCACCAAATTCTTCGCTGGTTTCTTCTTCCCAACTGACAGCGTTATCTTCCCATTCTTTAAGTTCATTCTAAATATAAATATGTGTAATTAGTGTCGAGGACATTATAATTTCGCATTCATATATATTTATATGTAAACTTACTGTTGGTATTGGGTCGGTAGCTACAGCAAATTTAGCAAAATGACGAGCATTGTCGTAATTATTTTCTGCTTTTTTATCTTTGATAAGAATTTTAGTTTGTCTTGTAATTTTTGGTGTCATATCCTATAAATAACAACTATGTTACATTCTAATTCTTTTGTTATTTCTTCTTACGATATTTCTCTTGTAATAGAACCTTTACCTGAAAGAAGTTAGGTTGTTGTTCCTCTTCTGGAGACTCCGTAGACTTGGTCACCTGTTGTCTATATTGTTCTATCTTAGATTGGACAGTGTTAACAGGTCTATCTGGTACAATAACGACTGGGTTTTCCTCCCAATGATCCCACTTTTCTAATTCCTTGAGAAGGATCCTCATAATTACTATTATAGTAGTTGCCAAAGTATTTATAGAGATACAAAGAAAATATCATTTTAAAATAGACTCCACATGTGAGAAGTCTAATAAAAACTCACCGTGTTTGAATTGTTTGATGGATTTGGTATCACGCCAACCGCCGAAAGTGGTATCGAATCACACGAAGATCTTCTACGACGTCGTAAGCAACACATTGCACGTCTAAATACACCGAAGAGAAGTAAAAAAAGGGCTTTCAGCCGGTTTACTATGAATTCAACAGCCATTGTTAACCTTAAGCGAATCTAACCTCTTTTCATTGAGATTAAAATATTTATTTGACAAAGACAAATTTAATTCGTCCTAATTTCATCTTTTTTAACAAGGATGACAATTAAGATATTTACGTTTGATTTTTGTCTATTGTTTTTGTTGCACAAGGTAAGCCATCTTTATCAATGTAATTCTACGTTATCAGTTTCCTAACCTACGAATAATAGTAAAACGATGTATCGAAATATATCGACGTCGTTTGCCGGTTAAATGCGATTATTTTCTTTTATTTTTAAACTAATTTGCACTAACTAAAAACGAAGAGAAAATTTATTCCAATTAATCGTTTATTGTAATTTTACGTTCTTTGGTCAAAAGAAATTGTTGTGAAGTTATAAATGACGTACTCGCGTACGATTGACTTAAATTTATTTTTATTAAGCTCTCTCTCTCTCTCTCTCTCTCTCTCTCTCTTTCTCCAATTAATGATCATTCTTCTTAACAAATTTGACTTATTTAATTCTACTAGTAATCATATACAGATTTTTATACATGTAAAATATAGTAAATAAAGTCACGTTAAAATTTTATAGTTCCGTATGATTTTCAAATTAAGAAATGACATAACAAAACTATTTCCTTTTAATTTAAGGTTTTTCATAAATATTACTTGCATTTTATTTTGTAATCTTTCGTTGATAACCGATAAGATTCTTCGTAATAATTATTAACTGTAACTTAAAATATCGGAGTAAATATTATAATATCTTTAAAAATTACACAATAGGTTTAGTTTAAAATTTATCATAATAGTTGAATTATATAAAAATATGTATAAAAGTAAGAAATAATGTTTATGGAAATTTTTTATCCTCGAACACACTTTTCTCGTTTAGTATTACGATCGAATTGACATTTTTCTTGATTTCTGCATGTTACGCCAGCACATGTAACGACACCACCTAAAACAAATATGCGAATTATTAGAAGTGATACAATATTTGAAGTCTTTATTTTTGCAAAGAAAATATATACTTACTATTTGATGAGCCTTTGTAACCATTACCAGTATTAACAGCACTCGAGGATACACATGACGTAGAACCACATTTGTTAGGACAACATTTTTGATTACCTGAGCATTGATAATCGCTGACACATCTAGGCATGCACTTGTCGATGGTGCTTTTTAATGGACAGAATCCAGATTTACCTAAACAATTATATTTTTCGTATTACGTGAATATATAATTTAATTTTATCTGCAATAAAACGTATTAAGCAAACTTTTAAGAAATACGTAATTTGTTTGTTCATTATACTTATTTTTTAAATGCGTCAATATTTTCAATCTTTTTAACATTGCTTGTATTACGAAATTTTCTCGAATATTCGATTTAATCTGCACGATCTACGTTTATCTTCTATTTAATCTTTGTCGGGAATAACGTAACGACTTATTCAATTTCTATTATTTCTGCATGAAAGATAATAAATATTCTATTTCACTGTAGTTACTTATATTGGATTATTTTTCTTCGAATATTACACCATAGTAAGATTTACGGTATACATCGACGAAAGACCACATCCTTGAACTTAATCATTATATCTATAAAAGATGATCGAATGTTTCAATGTATACGAATAACATACGCTTTTGAACAAATAAAACACAGAACAAGTATGAAATTCTTGAACACAAATACATAGACGGCTACGTATTCTATTAACTGACTTTCACTTTGTAAAAAGTGAACAAGTTATGTAAAATCTATAAGTTCCATAGTATATTACATACACATATAATATACGTATGAATAGACATTAACGTTTATTTTCACTTCTAAAACAATTTTTTTTTACAAAATAATATTAGTGCATAGTGGATTATTTTGTTTACTTACTGGAAAGTTGTCCTGATGTTACGATCATCATCAAACAAAGGCAGAAAAGAAGAATTAAAGTTTTACCTGATAAATCAAATATGTATATTAATATATATACATATACACATATTAAAATAATTATTAAAAGTTTTGATTTTAAATATTAATAACACGATCGGTATAATAAATTATTAATTTTTTCAAAGATACGTACAATACATTTTTGTTAACGTGATCTCGTTAAAGTGGAACAAGTTGATTCGCTAAAAGATGATTTCCGTTCGAATGTTAAACTTGAACTACGTGAGAAGAACTACAATAAAATTGTAATAAATTCTTCTTTTTAAACCACCATGATTTTACCACCACTCTTCTGGACTTTTCTTTTGACCGGAAAAATGAGGTTTTCCCGTTGAAGTAATATTATAACAAGTGAATCACTGATTCTTGCAAGCGTCTTGGAACTTACTCGACTGGAAAGGATAAATGGCAAGATGATTTTAAGTGGCCTTTCTTTAACGTGGATCTTGCGTCACTCTTTTTGCGAGAGTCTTTGCTAAGCAAATAAGAAATGTGGAACCAACGAGATAGCTTGGGGTAATTGGTTCCTATGTAAATCATTATTCACATAATACAATGAAAGATTACCATAATATATTTTTCTTTATGTTCTACATGTTCTCTTATATTCTTTATATTCTTTCTCATTGTTTACATAATCGAATTCTCATATTTAATAATATAGATTAAATGTATTTAAAATACAAAAATATAATATATAATAAATATATATATATATATATTAAATATTAGTATACATAAGCTCATAATTTATTGCGAATTTATTATCTCGTATAATTAATAGCGTAATAAATTTTTCATTAAATTTATACTCACACGCACACAAATATATACGTACAAATATATGTAAATATCTATACATTAAGAAAATATGTACATATATAATTAGATAAAACCGCTATAATTAATTAAATAATAACGTTATTGCAAAGAAATGTGAACTACTAATTGTTAAACGAATTAAATAGCATTACAGAGATATGTCAAGTATTGAATGAGTTATGTTCCAAGTATTCCATTCAATCATGCTTCATAATTTAATACATTGATAAAGTATATCGCGGTATAACATATTTTGATTATACTTAACTCGTTTATATGGCACGTACGATGAAACGTATAACACTAATAATAAGATAAGTTTAACGAAATTTTACATCACCGTTTAATTTTTAATCGTTATGACGTATCGCCATAAAATACCATCGGTGGTTGCGAATCTTCTAATGCAACTGGATCATATTCAACTTCGGGATTTTGACAAGCTAAAGCACCGCATCGATTTTTGCAACATTTTTTGATGCCTCTGCAATCGCCATCCGATCGACAAGTTGATGCACAAATCCATCGTCCAGTTGGTATAACCGGACAAGAACCTCGTTTTACTAAATAAATAAAAATTAATGTCATTAGAAGATATTAGAAATAAAAAATATGAGAAGGTAAAAATTACATAAGTTTAATTCAACTTATCGGTGAATTATTAAAGCGATGATTCACAACTTGTTTTTCGCTTATCATTCAATTATGCGTTAATAAAACATTACGAAAAGATATGTCAATATTTACTTTGAATATATACTAAAAATAATAATAATAAATCAATATTTTTTGTTCGATGGCAAGTATTATGGATTAGCAAGAATTTTTTTGAAATGAGAATTTTTTTCAAACATTTTTAAAAAATCACCGACGATGAGTTAAGGTAATCCTATAATCATTTTGATCACTGTAAATTTTCCAATCTATTAATTATGAAATTTGATATTAATTGTTGGGAATCACCTAAGATTTATCCTTAATGTGAATATAATATAATGGACTTTCCTATTTAGCAATACGAAAGAATTGTGCTTATTATCTATATCATTTATTATTTGACTTATTTTTTTGTTAATATAGTCTTCAAGATTAGAATAAGTTTTTAAATTTTTTATTTAATAAAATTCAATTGTATATACTACCGTAGCACTTGAAATTATTTTTATTTCATTTATTATGATTTTATAATTCCATTTCATAAACAAATATCAAATTTATTTGACTTTACTGGTATACATATGGAATAAAAAAAAGGATTATTGTAAAGAAAATTTCGTCTTTTTATAATATCGAACTTATAAGCTTTGATATTCAAATGTATATACATCAATAAAATATTTTCATAAAGATTTGTTTTAATTTGTGATAATTTTTATTTTATTCTTTCTCTTTCTTTATATATATCTCGTTAAATTTTATACTAGTTTATCAGACTGAATAATAATATTGAAATAAATCTCGAAGTAAAAGTATTTTATATAATAAAATACATTAAACAAAAATAAAAAGAATATTTTTAAACCATAAAAATTAAATGCATTAAAAAATATAAAATAATATAATATTTACTAAATAAATCTTAAATTAAAAATTAAATATTAAACATTTTAATTTAATATTAGTAGACTTTCTCAATAATATAATATACGTTTCAATTCTGTTTTTATTAAAGTTTATGTATATATGTATATAAAATATGTTAATATATGTGAGTAGCTTAAAGTTTTAAGCCTAACATAGAAAGTTGAATGCTTACCAATATTAACGGTTTCTGTAATGGGCATCACACAAATTCTACCATTGTAACTCGTAAGGCAACATTTTTCAAGTCCTCTACAGTCCATATCATCGTTACAAAGATTTCTACGAATGTTAAATGGTGTTCGTGGTGGACATGCACCAGGTTTTAATTGTTGTCCAAATGTCATTGTTGATAATATTATCAACAATAGCATTGATGAAATTAACGATGCCATTTTGATATGAATAAAACCTTTGAAAGAAACGATATTAACTATTTATCATTCTCCAGTTGTTTAAGTAATGATAATAGAAATGACTTTTTGTATATATTATATTTTTATTCTTTAAAATAAGAAAAAAATGTTTAGTTTGTAATACTGTTAATAGTATGTGTCAATTAATATTCTATATAAGGTTTATATATTTTATATATGATTATTCCACATTAAAATATTCAAATATATTCTTATTACGCATGAAATAGACTTGCAATGCAGATATTTGAAACAGTAGAAAAAAACATGACAGAAAAGTTCAAGTAATTATTAAATATAAGAAATATATAGAAATTGTATATAATATCATTAGTTTCTTAAGATATTTTAATAAATTGTTCAAATAAAAAGTGATGAAATGACAAATTTCATACCTGTCAAGCGTGTGCGAATGATGAACGTCTTGCTAAAATCGAAACGAATTGCACGAACGTCTGGTGACTACTGATCGTTGACACCTCCAAGACTTGAACTTAAAGATCCTAATAATGCACACATACTATGAGTAGAGAGACAAATATATTCACTTTCGCAATGTTAAAGTCATGCGTTAGTCATTTCACGCGGTAATATTGAAGGTCGGGGCCGAGTTATGCGAGCTAGATAATGTTTATTTCATTTTTTATTATGAATGTCTTATACGATCCAATAAAAAGTGAATTCTGTCACGATATAGTAAACTCGTTAACTTTCTTTCTTTTTAAATAAAATAATAAATATTATAAACTTTTCAATTCATTTGACAAATATATTTCGTTCATGCAAAAACTGATTGTTCTTTATCTTTTATGTTTAAAGTTTCAATTTTTCACTCGTAACGTTTATCGTAAAATGTTTAATAAATATTTCGATATTTGCGAGTATTACAACGTTAAAATAAAAGAAAAAATATTTTTATTCAATGTTATTGTTAATTTAATGATGAAAAATATTCGAAATAGTAAAACAAGATTGAATACTTACGTTAATGAACTCGAACGTGTCTTTAGATTTTTTGACAAGATCCGCTAAACATTTATCTCTTATATAGGTACCAATTTGTGGTTTAATAACTCGGACATTTCCTTTTTTCCTCAACGATTTGTATTTCTGACATTTCCGAACGAGAGTTTCGATATCATTGTATTTATAATTAGAAAGTGCAAGACCAATTAACAAGAAGTCTGATGCTACTAGCCGGAAGATGGTGGTTTTCGGAGAAAAAATTAAATGAAAACTCTTGTACGAATCACCGTTTATACCATTTCCAGGATGTAGACCAAATTATGCAAAATGAATCTGGCGTTTTACTTTTTCTTTTTCCTTTAGATAACTATTCGCTTTATCTGTGACGATTGACCACGCTTTTGGCAAAAGTAGGTCAACTTCCCTTGACTTATCATTGAGGACAATAATACTATGGTTTCCATGTGTCTTTGCATTTCCCTTCTTTTTTATTTCTTTTAAAAACGACTATTATTAATATTCTAATTTATAATAAATATTCCAAATTTAATCACTTTAATAATCGATAATTAAATTAAATTGATAAATCTGTCCTATATTTATAGCGTATTCTAAAAGTTGTTTTAATGAAAAAATAAAATTAAAACAAAAAAATCAATATTAGTTTATCACTAGAGAATTACGACATCTTTTTATTTTTTCATTTCAAGATATGAATCATTATAAGTCCAAGATACTGCCATGTTAATAATTACCTAACGAAAAAGGAATTTCTAATTTTTCGATTCGATAAAGCAACTTTTGGGATGTTTTGTAATATAAATAAATTCATACCATAAGTTTAATTTTATTCTAGAATAATTAAAATCGAATCGTATTTCAAACTAAAACTTAACTAATTATATAAACTTTGTTAAAAGTTATTTAATCGAAAAGATATAATGATCCATTTAAGGTTTCTTCGATCATTATCTATATAAGTTTATTAAACGATTTACTCACCTTAACGATGCATATGTATGAGGTATAAAAAAAAATGGTAATGATCATAAAATATGTTTCTTGTTCTTAAGAATTTGTTGTAAATACTAGTATAAAGGTGGAGTGTATTTTTGAATCATAAATTTCTGATCGCGATTATACATAACAAAACCATTTGCATGGCGTAATAGCTTAAGGTCTGAGGAAGTTGTGCAATTATCTTCGTATTAAGAATCGATTTCCAAGCTGGGTTCGAGGTAAACCGGTCTACTAGTTTCTTGAAAATGACTTTTCTGCATTCAATTCTTGCATAAAAGTTATTTTGTTAAATATAAATTTGTCGATATTATTTTCAGAAATTTGTATTCTTTCATTACTTCTTTAATAAGTTACAATTTTCGAGTTGATAAAATAGCGTAATTAATGTGCAGTGCAAATTTTTCAAAATTATGAAATTTCATTGAATACAAATTGGTATTATATTATTGTGGTTTTATTTTTCTGATAAGTTATGAGAGAATGAGATGATAAGACAATTTCGAACATCCTTATATTTATTCAATTGTCTCATAAACACGACAATTAGTTATCTATCTATTAGTTATCTGTTTATCTAACAAGAAAAAAAAAGAAAGAAAATAAAAATCGTTCCATCGTATATATATACTACGGCGAAAGAAAAAATTATTCGCTTGAAAGATAAAAATTATTATAGATAAATGCATCCTTGGTACTATCGCAAAGAGTATTTTATACAAAGATAACTTAATAGATTATAATTAATTTTAGTTAAACGCTTTTTGAGAACGATAAATTAAATCTACAAAAAAAAAATTGCGCTTATTAACGTATATAGATAACACTTTTTTTAAAAATAATTTTTCGCGTATTATAATATTCATTATTACTTGTTATAAGAATCAATTTAACGATACTTAATTTATGAATCTTATCTTAACATAATTTTTATATATAATACATATATAAAAAAGATATTTTTCAAATAAAGATTAATTATTATTTATCTCAATATCAATTTATAATTACTAAAAAAAAATCGACCTATAGAAAAAGAAAGAAAAAGAAAGAAAAAGAAAGAAAAAGAAAGAAAAAGAAAGAGAGAGAGAGAGAGAGAGAGAGAGAGAGAGAGAGAGAGAGAGAGAGAAAGAGAGAAAGGATGAATAGTATAATATAAATAGTTTTTTACAAGATTTTGGTATCTATTACCAAATTAGAAAATTTGATTTGGCGCTTTCTAGATTGTATTTTTTTCTTATAATCTATAACTTAATTATCAGAACACGAATCAAAAGATTGATTACGAATGGCACTAAACCGAGCTTATTTTTATTTTACGATTATATTCTCGTATAAGATTTCTTAAAGTATATATTTATTTAAGATAATTGCAGTAGAAATGTTCCCTTATTCTTTTTCATACATATATACACATATACCTATACATATACACACTGACTGACGCATTCAAGTATTTGATATTCAAAGTGTTTATTAATTATGCGGAGTGATCACTTTGAAAGTCAATAAAAATTGCATAATATTGTGGTTGCAATGATTACAAATATCTTACTTATATCTTTGTTTGTAAAAAATAATGAATATTAAGTTTGCCGATTGGCATATGTAGCATAATGCCTTTTACGTTAACATTTGAAGTCTTATCTCTTTTCTGTCTTTCGTTTGTAAATGAATAAAAATGTACATATAGAGATAATATATGTTATTTATAATGTGTATTTTGTAAAATGAAAGATTATTTAACGCGTATAACAAATGTATGGCTAGTTTCGTGTTATATTTTGCAACTATAATTCGTTACTGTATCTGTTTATAATATATTTTTTATCTTAATATATAAATCGCGTGAAAAAAATACATAGTAATTAGTAAATCTTAATTAACGTCGATTAAATTAATAGATTAATTTTATTTATATCTTAAACGATATGTTAGGTCAAAAATGATCAAAGTTCACACGTATGTGTTTTGAAAGAATTTTAAATAAAATTACATTGAAAATATATTTACATCCTTGCTAGAGTAAAATCGTAGTCTTCTATTTTTTGGTCACGGCTGAAAGAAGAGAAAAAACATAAAAGTAAAATATAATGTGAAATGCAATTTATTGAATACCCATCGCGAGTAGTATGTTATAAAACTCAACGATTCGAGTTTCTTGTTGTTGTTTTTATCTTTTTTTCATTCGTTGGAAAATTACAAAACCAGTTCGAATTTACCGAAAATGGTAACTGGCAACTAGCAATGTTTCTACAAAGATTAAACAGAGACAGAAAAATACGATTCGTTTTCGTAGAAGAACTCGAATCCGTGACGAAGAATAGTAATGAACTTTTCGAATCGTTCGTACGTGATTGGAATACACAGATCGCATAATTTTCAATCGATTTTTCGCGAGAAACTTGTAGAGTCCATCTCGCGAGTCAAGGATAAATTTCTTTGTCAACAGTTCGAAGAACCCTTTTGCTTGTCAATGTCTTTATTTAACGAGTGAATGTAATGAGTAACCGTGGTCTTTCCAGGAATTCCGTGAATAAGATCAAATGTCCATAAATAACATATGTCGTGTGGTACACATACAAGATAGAAAGAATTTTTAAGATTAGGAAAAAAGAAAAAACATAGCTTATGCGTCAGATACTAGTATTAGAAAATTGTGAATAAAACAATATGAATGAAGATTGCGTAAAAAAAAAAAGTTAAGTTACTAGAATGATATTTAAAAAAATTTCATTAAAAAAATTACTAAAGAGTAATATTAAATTAATTACCTAGCCACGTGTTGCACACGTTGGATTACATTTTTAGTGATAAGATTTTCTATTGTAAATTGTATTTTTATTATGGCAAAATAAAGCATGTTGTCTAAATTAATTCAATTCACGTTGGATTACTAATTCTTTTTAAATCACTAAAATACACACATGGGTACAGTTAGCAACATGAATAAGTGAGTGACCCATCCGAAAAAGTATAAGACAAAAACTGTGTGCTGTTGACTTCAGAGAGATGGTAGAAAGATGACCTCTTTGGTAGTATTATCGAGTAATAAATGTGTGAAAGTGTTAGTAGAGAAATAATTCGAATCCGTAAAAGGGAAAGTAAAAAGACAAATACTTAAAAAGTAATAGTTTCTAATAATAATTCTTTGTCTGAGAAAGTGAAAACAAAAAAAAAATAAAGAAACATTTTAAAGATCCTTACTTCGTGGTGGCACAGGCGGAGCAGGCCACTTCTTTGGAATGGAGCCAATGATTTTTACGATGTCTTGAGAATTCATTCCCAGATTCATATATTCGTGATGAAGTTTACTGCTGTCTTCGTTATTAACGTCCGTTTGTACATATTCCTCGTTATTTTCTGAACCAGAATGAAGTTTATTTTGCTCTACGGATACGTTATCTTCATTAGACGATGGTACAGATTCGATAATGGCTTCGACTTCGATCGAATTCGAGGAATTTGTTTCTATAGATCGGCCAAGACCATTCAGGAGTGCGTCATGAGACCTTGTGGTTTGGTTCGAAGACGAAAGGACGCATACCGGCATCGTATTGACATAATTCGAAGGAATGCACATTCCAGGAGGAGGTATAGGTGTAATAGACGAAGTGATATTTATCGAAGATGGATCTATATGTGTATTGGATTGTTTCGTGTTGTCTCCATCTAATTTCTTTCCGCTAACGTTTTGATTAAGTTCGAGATATTTAGGATGTTCATTGGGTGAGCCTGGTGTCATAGGTTCTCTCAGTAATCCATCCGACTTAAAAGCTGTGCAGAAATTATATAGATAATTAGTTATTCAATTTAGAAGAGATTATTCAGTAAATTGAATTTATCGATCGTAATATTTAATGAAAAGTTCAAATATATGAAAGGAAGCTTTTCATATTCAGAAATCTCCAAGCGTTGAATTAATAGGTGCTAATCGGATTGAAAGTTTGATGTTAGTAAATTAGTTAAGACGAAGTTATGAATTCTCTGTTGATAGTGTTATACGTACAGTGGACGGGTAATCCCGATGGTGGAAAGGCAATATAATACTCGTTGTCCTCGGCTCTTAATGGTAGCTGTGATGGCCTAAGGTCAAGGTCTGTTGCGGTCGAAGAACGAGGTGATGGAGAATACCGCAAAGCTGGTGAATACGTACCACCGAGTGGTTTTGGTGTTGGTGGTATTTCGTAAGACATTACGCCAGCTTTATCTCCTCTATTTTGAATCTACGATAAAGAATTATATTTTTAGGTGATTCAATTATAACATTAATTGGTAATTATATAAAGAAAATTACAATCAATGCTTACTCTTTTGTCTTCGGGATCAGAATGGGTTCCACTATCACCTAGGCTTGTACCACTGCAACCACTGACAGTACTCATTCGTCCAGATGACGATGAACCTAGATTTATGTATAATTAAACAACCAATTGACAAAGATTCTCTATCTAAATATTACTCAGATTTATATATATTTTTTTTGGCTAACAATAAAATATAATTTATCGTTTTTCATGAATTATTTTTCAGACCAAAAGGATAAGTAAGGAGATAATCTCTTACTAGAAACACTGCCAAGGCTAAGGCTGCTGACAGGTCGACGATCTGCCAAGGTTCCGTTCACGGTTTCTGGTTTTGTTGTTGGGGAGAAGTCGTCGGTGCCATTAGTGGAATCCTTGGGATCTACAAAAAGCGAGACGTAAGTATACGTTTGAAATAAAAATAGAAAGAGAGAAGAAAAGATGAATCTTAGAAAAAAGATATTAACCTTTCTTCCCTTTTGAAAAGAACTTTCTTATTCTGTCGAAAGGCGTGGGTGCTTTCATCTCTTCTTTCAACTTTTTCTGTATCCTCTCGTATTCCTCCCTCATGGCAGTCAGCTGCCTCTGCTTGTCCTTGAAACTCTGTTGCACGTCATTTCGGTTTCTCCAATTCTCAACAAGTCTCTCGACTTCTGATATTGTGAAGACGTTGTTCTTGAAGTCGTTAATAATCTCAAGAAGCTCATCCTGAGGTCTCGAGTGTTCTTTTGATCTTGTACTGGAATTCGAGGAAGTTCTTCCACAGGAAACTGAACACTGGCTATCTTCACGTCCTCCTGGATAAGAACTTTGGCTATCTAATCGATTTTGCGTTGGTGTGGCCGTTCGAGAAGGTACCTGATATGTTCCATTTAATGTAGGAGTTTTAGGTCCTGAAATATAGAAAATAATGTTCGATTTTGCAATAATAAAAAAATAAACATTATGTTCTTTATAATATGATTTTTCTTTAACAAATTTATGATCTATATTTGTTCCGATAATTGTGAAAATTGATTATGTGCAAAAAATTGTAACAAATTGATTTAATTTTTAATTAAAATTATTTTTACTAGAAAATGAATTAATAAAATAAATTTTGTTCAATTTTTTTTTACTTAATTCATTGTTATAGTTACTGCCATATTTGAAATAAAAATTTTCAATAAAGATAGTACTGATAGATACATTAGTTGTCAGTTAATGAACAAGTCGAATAATTTGGTATTATATCATTTAGGTATCTTTACCAGCAGGGTGCATCTTCATATAACCTTGAAGTTGTAGGTCGAGACCATTCGGGATGAACGTTGGAGTCGTAGGTGAGATGATTACTGGTGTGGGTGCTGGAACAATGGAGTAATTCGCTTCTAGGGGATTGTTCGAGTTAATGTTAGATGGTGCCATCAATTGCGTGGGTAAAATCAAACTAGTGATTGGTCTTGCAGCTGGTGGTACCGAATAAGCTTCACTGAGAGGTCGAGGACGACAGTAATCTTCTTGATCGTTAATCCTATCGTTGTTCTTCTCATTGATGTTCTTATTTTCACATTTATTTTCGTTAACATCGTTACCTTCAGTTTCGTTCGTTTTGTCGTTGTTCGTTTCGTTGGTTTTTTCGTTACTTTTGTCATTTGTCGATTGATTGTCTATAATGAGTTAATTATTAATATAGTTTTGTTCCAAGATTTAGAAGTATCAAAAAAAAAAAAAGAAAATAAAAAAATATTGCTTACTAGGTAAGCAGTTACACTTACCTGTGGCCTGACTCGACGCATTTTCACTTATTACTTTCAGGTAGCTATACATGTTGGTGAACTCGTTCATTTGCTGTGTTTCCGTAGTCGAGGATTCAAGGCACAGCCCGAAACATGCAATGCAAATGCAGTTTTTGGTTAGTTTTTTTAAACAATAATTTATAATATCAATAGAATATAGAATAAGTAACCATGTGCCGTTAAAGCTTTTTCGAGTTATAAGCGAATGCTTTTTTATTAGCCAAGTCTCGAATCATTGAAAGTAAAAGATGTATCGCGGTAGTACCGATTATCGAAAAACCATGACGATGTTTAAAGGTGGTGTTTTTGTACCATGTAGCCACGAAGTTGATGTGCCAATCTTGTATGGCCAGCTTGCTCCGCAAGATCGGCAGGTGTCAATTCAGAAACGTTTCTCAGATCGCAAGCTAGATCTCCTCCGGGACATTCCAATAATTGCCAGGCCAATCTTTCTAATCCGAAACGTGCGGCAAAGTGCAAAAGTGTAGGATTTTCTTCAGGACCTATTTTATTAGAAATAAATTGTTAATTCGCTTTTCTTCTAAAAATTAATTTAATTTTTTATTTAATTCGTTCACTCTCTTTAAAATATTATTGTTTTTTAATTTATCTTTTTTTAATTTTATTATAAGACAAAAAAATATAAATAATACAATATATTAAGGGATTAATTGTAAGGGTATTTCTCACCGACTAATCGTTCTATTCCATCAGCACGAAGTAACAATTGAAACAAATTAGATATTTCTAATGAAAGTAAACAAGATAAGTGATAATGATTCTTTGATTATATTTACTTGTATGATTTTTTGGTGTAGGTAGAATATCGTTTGGAGTAGATAAAAGGTTAAAGTGGGGTGGGACATTCCTCTGAAATGCGTGCACCATCCAATTGTCCAATTGCTCGCGATCTCCGGGATGGAAACCGAAAGTCTGGAAAATGAAACGAGATTTGTGATAAGGACTTAAATTGCCCTATTGAAACTTCTGAGAATTCTTCGACCGGAAGTTTTTACAGACACGAATTGTTCATTGGACAAAGTTTGTATCATTCAGCATTTAGGGTTCCACTTTATTGGAGAATAAAAAGGAAACAATTTGTTTTCAAATAAGATAAGACGAATTCTTTTCTTAAAAGTCTTTCTTTTTTAAAGTATGAGAATTAATGGAATGATTTTAATTCTTCATAATAAACTCACCTGACACATAAACTCAAGAGGATTGTCATGAGCTCTGAGAATTTGATCCAGTTCTCTCAGTCTACTCTCGCATTTAACCTGCCTAACACCGAGTGGGCAACCATTCCTAGATATTCTAACGCCTACCAGCATTGATACTTCAAGGCATCTCTCAGGAATGGAAAATTGGAGAGTATAAGGATTTCGTCTTTTTACGTGAGGGATATCGATACCCTCTCCACAACGATCAACGATAACTGATACGTTGTCATCCGGATGTAATGGATCATTTAACAGAGCTATGATTCGATTTTGACCCTACAAAGTGAAAAATAAACAAACAAAATTTTTCATTATTGCTGATCATATTCACGTGGTTTCGAATGAAATTTCATCAATTAGATTTTATTGTTATTAGAGATAAACTTACAATTTTGACTTTTTTCGGATGGACGGAAAAAACAGTCTTATCGTTTCTAAGCGTAGAAGGTGGGGCAGTGCCTAAAATGCTAATAGCAGCACCTAGAAACTCGCCAACGAAAGTTTCATCCTGATCCTTAACGAAGAACTTCCGCCATTGATTATACGATACCAGGGCTGACTTATGAGTGTCCGTCACGACGCCATCTTGCACACCCAGCATCATTGCTAGGACTCTTTCGATGATTAAATGTCTCGAGAGATTAGCTGCATGTTCTGGTCTACATGTAACACGTTCTAAAAGGATTGGACAAACTACGACAATCTGCAAACGAGCACCCTTAATCCTTTCTTCTGTCCCTGGAGCAAGTGACTCTTCAACCGCGACATGACGCACTCTAAAATATTAATTAACAATTTTTATTAACTATTTCCTTTTGTATTTAATTTAGCCAGATATCTTTGTTTTTGTCTTATTTTCAAAAAACAATGTCAATCTATTGGATTGTTCGGAAAGTTCTTACCGATTTATAAATACGGTGGATAGGTGGGTTGAAAAGTTTTGGGTCTAACATAGAAACACAATTTTTGTTGTTGGTCAAATTTACTTTTATTTTTCGCGATGTAGTCTTTAATGGATTTTTAAAAAAGAATATGATCAAAACTTTGCAACCTATTCTCGTATATATTCTATATATACAGTGTGTAACAGAACAAGTAAGAAGTACTTTAGGAATTCATTATACGCCTAAAAATAATCAAATAAGTTTGTTATATCTTATACAGAGTATATGTTTATAAGAAATTTTTCAATTAATTTTAGGTGTATAATCAGCTTTCGTTGAGTAACATCCAATATATTGTTAAATAAATATAAAAATATTGCTTCTGTGAACTTTTCGGGCAATCGATTATTTGATTTGATTTATTTTAATTGATCTTTCAAACTATTTCCTCACTTAGATCAATCAAAAAATTGTTCACGAGGTACGTATAAGACAATGTTAATTGTATATTCTGTTAATTATTGATACTTACTTAAAAGGTGGCCGACCCTGTTGTCGACTGATTTGCTCGAAGCAAGCAGTAAGATAATTCACCCATAAACCTGAAGATTCGCTTTCCTTACTGGAAACAAAAACTACGTCATCTTCAGGACTGCTATCGAATTTTGTCAGACCCGTTGCTGAACGAGAGCCTAGAAAAACATTTTTAAGTATATTTTAAGTAATCGTAGAGAGATCCTTATATGCTTTTAACATAGTAAAAGGTATAATAAACGATTATCTCTGAAAGTACTTAAGTTATATAAAAGCCCTTTTTAGATTTTTATATCTTACGTCAAAGTCTGCGTTAATGTGTGCGTGAGTGTATAAATTTTATCGTTTAAAAAAATGATTGAATAGATGGATATAATAATATTCATATAAAAAATATTGTTTCTCTCGATAAAAATAAAATAAAATTTTTGATTATAAATCGGGCAGGTATTTGAAAAATAAAAAAATGTTGGTAAAAAAATCGTATATGATATGGAAATAATAAAAAATTGTAAAAGAATATTTGAAAACGTGTCAAACATTAATAAGTGAAATATTATACATCGTCGTGTCCATGACAAAACTTTTGGATTGGATTAAAATAGTTACGTTTATCAGATTTAAAGCACCGTCATGTGCACGTACATTTTTTGTGGTAATTCTTATATTTCCTCGCGATATATTTTACTTTCAACGAATCTACCCGCGAACGTTTTAATTTAGTACTTCCGTGCGAGTCGTTTGCGCTTTCTAGCAATTCATTTACATATGATACACCTAACAGGAGCTGCCCATTAACTGCGACACACCCTTGTTTTTCTCCCTAGAGTCTATGTATGCAGCACTTCATTTTCGGCGTGGTAACGTGATACACGCGAAGTTTACCTTTTTGCCAGGATAGAAAAGGAAAGAATAAAAAGGAAGACAAATGAGCATGACGAAAAGTCGTTAAAAATTGTGAACATATTAGATAATTAATTTTTATTATCGCTAAAACATCGTTAATATTCTTCATACTTTTATTTTATTTTTCATGACTTTGCAAATATTTCAGTCGTAATATTAATAACATATATTTTTATCATTTATCCGCAGTAAGTGTCCGTTAAAATCGTACATCGTTACGATTACTAAATTTTCGTTTTAAAACTATTGATATAATGTGTTTAGGATGATGAAAATTTAGAAATAAATACATTAGTATACCTTAATTACATATTTAATAGATTTTACTTGGAAGCTTTATATATAATAATTGAATTAAATAAATACGAAAATAATGTAGAGAAAACGTCTGTACTTTAAAATCATACACGTTGGTATAACTGCAAAAACAAAAAAAAAACAAAAGAATTTATTAATATAGTTCGAATATATTAAAATATTACGATTTAATATTTTATTAGAGAGAGAGAGAGAGATGAAAATATTTTCAGCTGAAAGTTCATCACCCGTCTAGGAACGTTAAAACAAATGTATTTTAGTTTGAACAATTCTAAATATTAGTTGAGTATATTAAAGCGTTCGACATACTCTAAACGATTGTTAATTAATCGTGGGTAATGTATATTGCAGTATAAGCATACGGAATATAAAATGAAAGTTTAGACGTTCGATAGTTAACAAAGTTAAAAACAAACTATAATCAAAGGTCTGCCAATAGGATAAACTACGTAAACCCTTTCTTCTTCTTTTTTTTTTTTTTTTTAAACTTTCCTTCCCTTTCTTGTTCTTATTTCCTTCGTCTATTCCCGACGACAGGTTTATTTATCCGTCGTCCTGACGAAACGTTACACGTAGGGTAGTAGGAAGAAAATCACGGTTTGTTTCGCTCCGGTTATTTTTGGCTTTCACCGAGCTAGAGAGAGAGTTCGTCAACTTCGTATTTTCAAACGGCTGCTGGATCCCCGTTGGATATAAAAGCTCGAAAAGACACCACTCTTTAGCTGGAAAGATGGAATATCTGGAAAGTGAGCTTCGAGAATAAAAGAAACTACGACACTGTGGTGCATCTTTTCCTCTTCCTTCACTCTGACTCGTAAATTTTACTAACGACTTTTGATATATAAAGTATTTTTTTACGATTATATTCGATGTTACGGGTTTCGTGCGACACTCTCTCGTAAGTGTATCTCTTCTATATCTTATGTCTCGAACAACAAATAATCTAATGCGACACCATTCTTTTTTTTTTCTCTCTTTGCTTCTGTTTTTGTCGCTGCGAATACTTCGAGATCCCAGAGATTTTCTTTTTCTCTTGATCTTCTTCTTGTTCTTCTTCTTCTTCTTCGTAATCTTATTTCGTACTTTACTTTGTCGAAAAAGAACCCCCCCCCCACTCGACTTTATCTTTCTTACTACGAGAGGAACAGGATATTATTATTCTTATTCGACGTGAGGATTTGTTTTAAACGATTTGTCATTTATTTCTTTTTTTTATTGTTATTAAATTAAAGAAAGTAATAATCGTTATTCGTTACGAGAGGAATATTGAAATTATTCTTTTTTTTCTTTCTTTTTCTCCGATGATTAAATTGCGAGAAAATAATACCAACTTAACGAACGATTTGTTATATTCGCGTCTTGTTAGAAGAATTTCCAAGTATCGTTGCTAAGAAGATATCAATATCTGTTGTACAAAAGACTCCTTGTCAGAAGTCTCCGTGCTTATGGAAAAGGAATGGCGTCGTTAATTATGTTATTATAGATGATTAATAAGAACGACGGGAAACATTAGAGTTTCGTTTAGATAAAAGACTTCGAATTTAACATCCTTTTTTTTATAAACGCGATAAGCTCGATTGAGTACCTTTTGACCTCTGGTGTTGTTTTAAAATTTCTTCTCCTTTGCATTCGAACAATTTTATCATAAAACCGAGTTATAATAATAGATACAAAATACGTATTACGATTATTTTAATCTATATTTAAAGTATTCATCTCTATATTATCACTTTAAAAAAATGTTTTATAAAATTGAATAAAAAGTAAAAAAAAGGTGTTTTTAATGTAATTAAATATAAAATAAAATATTGCTATTATTATTATTATTATTATTCGTTAAGCAATTTTATAAATCGAAAAATATAAGATGATAAGTATCTAATGGAAATGGTCGATCAACTGTAAATTTATCCCCCACCAGAGTTGAACGTGATGCTCGTGTCTTCCGCTTTTGGTATTTCCGGTCTAAACTTGGATTAATAGTCGCGAACGATTAAACGATCGAGCCGTTATGCGATCGTTCGTGTGTCGACAGGAAGTACTACGATAATAGTTTGACGATACAATAGACCAATGACGTACGCGAGTTGCCTTTGACAATGGGATAATAATGCCGAACGTCTTGGTAGAAAAATTTATAAGCTTTTTCTTTATTTAGTAGGGATAAGAATGATGTTACTTTATCTCGAAAAAAAAAAAAATGAACGTTCTTTTTTTCCGTAGGCGAATTATATTTTCTTAAATATTATTAATTTCTAGAAACTTATATATATATATATTTTTTTTTTTCAAATGAATTAAAAAAGACTCACGTTTAATAGCAGAAAGATCCAAAAAATTAGGTCTATTTTTTCTTCTTGCACGAGGTGTCTCACACGTTGCAGCCATGTTATTAGAAATGTTTTGTCAATTTAAAAAATCATTTGTCAATAACTTGAGAACTTTTTCTTTTAACTTCCTCTCACCCACCCTCCCCCGTACCCCTCCACGACACTTTTTTTTTTCAAAACCTTTTTTCTTATATTCGACGATCAAAGTTTCCAATGTTATTTGATATATTGGTTATAGAAGATAACAAAACAGATTGTATCTACTCATGGAATGAAATTCTCCCATTGTCGAGGGACGACTGTTGGATACGTCGGTTCGTTGGTTACCCATAACCGATCGGTAACTCTCCTCTCGTCGTTTAATTCGTGATATCCCCTACCCTCGGCTAACAGAGACACCATTTTCGTGCCATTGTTCCTTCATCGTGTTACGGATTAGGCGATGTCCATAATTATTGAACATGCTATTGGAATATTAAACGGATGACCCGAAACCAACACGAATGGCATTGTATTTATTTATGAAATTAATCCGTTGAAATGATGAGATGCTTTCTAATGCAACAATGTGTAAATTAATAATTATTCTAACAATACGTTTAAACGAGGAATTATAATATATCACACGTTAAAGCAAAAAGTTCAACTTTAATTTTAATGTTAAACGATGACTCCTATAACGTGACTGACTAATTGTTTATAGACAAAAAATGTTCCCCTTAGCCAAGGCGACTTAGCTATTTCGGTTAACTATTTTACTGTTAGCTGTTTTGATTATTTTTTTTCTACAGTTTGTAATTATATCAAATATACAAGGATGATTAGTAAAACGTGACTAATTGTTTATATATATAAATTTGACCTAAACCAAGATCTATAGGTATTTGGTTAAGACTATTCAAAAACGGAAACGTTTGTTAACGATGTGTAACAAATCATGTCTAAACCCTTAGGATTGGTAAGTTAAAACGAAATAAACTTCGTCCGGTCTTTTCTGAAATACGGAAGTCTGGCGGAATAAACCGAATACATGGTGAAAACTCTTAATGGTAACTGGCACGTAGAAAGACTCCCGCTGCTTTTTTTTCTTTTCTTTTCTTTTCTTTCCTATTCATATATTCCAAGATATATACTAAAAAATTTACATTCTAGCGTATACTTATAAAATATACGATAGGAAAAGATAGGTACAAGAGGTGAAGAAGAAAAGAAAAAAAATAAAAGAATAAAAAAATATGCTGGCGCCGCTTATATAACGTAATCTAGTAGCTTAGGTAGGTATAAGACAAGAGGGATAAGAAAAGATATGTAAATGGTAAGGGGTCCGGACTCGTGTCAGAGAAGAAGAAGAAGAAGAAGAAGAAAGAGGAGGGGAAAAGAGGACTCGTAAGAGAGAGAGAAGAAGAGTGCAATGGAGGATAGAATGGATGAAGAGGAGAGTGGAGAGGAGAAGGGGATAGACGCACAAACACGGTGGCACCTGGATTCCATTTGTATTCCTGCGCATAGTCGGTGAATGTTTGCATCCACTTAGCATACTGCATATCCTGCATTGGGAACATCAGGATAATAAGCTACCTTCTCTTCTCCTCTTTCTTTTCTTC